GCTGTCCCTGCTGTCCCGAATTCCTTTCTTCCAGCCTTTACGTAGAACACAAATAAAATTACAGCCCAAATACAGCCTCTTCTGAACAAAATCACAGCCCACTTCATTCTGTTGCCGAATTACCCAATTGAGAAACCTTGAAGGAAGTACTAGCATATTCTAGAAGACCAAAAGTCAGAGGGGATGAAGTGGAAAACACACACCACTGCCATGAGGCTGATCCGAATCACGAGCCAAGCCTGGAATCTTGCAAAGGTACCAATTTTCAACGTGATATCTCAGACAGTGATAAGGTTAGTGACGAACAGGATGATCTTTATGTCTCTATGGCATTGAAGAAAGGAAAACAATCGTGTACAACACATCCAGTCGGTAATTTTATTACGTACCAAGGCTTATCTGCCAGTAAGGCATTTGCAAATTCTCTATACTCCATACAAGTTCCAAAGAGTATACAATGTATACAAGAGGCTCTATAACATCCTGAATGGAAGGCAACAATTGACGAAGAAATGAATGCCCTCTTAAAATTAGCACTTGGGAATACTTAGACTTACCAATCAGAAAAAAACGGTTGGTTGTAAATGGGTGTTTACCGTGAAGTACAATGCAGATGGATCTATTTGGTAGATTCAAAGCGAGACTGGTGGCAAAGGGATTTTCACAAGCATATGTAGTTGACTATGGAGAAACGTTTGCACCTGTTGCTAAACTGAACTCTATAAAGGTATTGCTTTCTCTTGCAGCAAACGTAGATTGGCCATTATAGCAGCTTGATATAAAGAATGCTTTTCTTAACGGAGAACTAGAGTAAGAAGTTGTTTGGGATGAAGGCTTTGACATCGAAACATTTGAGTGTTTCGATTTAGAACCTTCTCCGTTAGTGATCTCATGATCGAGATTCTTAGATGTGGAARAACCCATTGTAGTATCGAACTAACACACACACACACCTTATAAGAATAAGGATGTAATTTAGGGAAGAATAGCAAATTGTATATATTGAAGAGAGTATGCCAACAAAGCAACCGATCAATGTATTTATACATGATGAATCGGTGCCAATATGATCATCACGTCGGTTGGCATGGGGTGCCATAACCGACGTCCATAACTCCTTAAGAAAACTACCTGCCAGTATTACATATGAGGTGTCCCATGACCCTCTTTATTTAAAACATAATTAAATAGTAATAAACCTATAATTAATCCTAAGTTTTGACATTTAATTTTTCCAACACTCCCTCCTAAATGTCAAAACATTTTGGACAGCTTTGAATCTTCGATCTTCACAGCACAACCACGAAATCTTCGTTTCCATCTGAATCATCGCTTGGGTCTTTGTCTTCTTCTGAATAATAGCCTTCTATGCTTGGATCCTCATCTTCTATTTCTTCCCCATCTAAGTCCTTGCAGCTTCTGGTTTGAATTGAAGTAGCGTTCCGGTCTTCCTGACCATTCCCTCCACCAACTGAGGTACCTACGCTCTTATCAGACGGACGTTCTGTTTTGTCTCGAACCCTGTCGGTCAACCTGCCGATCTTCTGATTCTTGATACTCGACCACTTTCCAAACCACTTCTGTGCAAAGATGAAATACTCATGTGGGTGCAATAGATAGTCAATGAATAACTTGTTGAATGCTTCACCGTAGCATTCCGGAAAGCCAAAACTCATCGCGATCTCGTTCCATTTATCTTCCACTGTAATGATTTCGTATCCTCCATATCCAATAATTAACTTGTAAAGATCAAATAAACAAACCTTCATACCAAATACCTTTGCTGGTAACATGATCTCTTCACCCTCTTTGATTTTAAAGACCCAACCTAGTGCCTCATTGAACTTCTTTGCGAAGAAATGCTTATTTTTATAAGCGATTTGATCATATTTAACCATGAACATAATCGTGGTAAAGTCATCAAGGGTTCTTATTTGAACTGGTACAAAATTCCCACGGATTTCAATCGTTTCTTCTTCGAGGAATGGTTTCTTCCCTTTGCCATCAGACTTCGAGTCTGGATTCAACGACCCTTGCTTGCGTTTCTTTTCCTCCTTGAGGTCGTCTTTCTTTTCTTTCTTATGGTCATCACACATGTGAGTAATTTTACATTTTAAATTACCACATCAACCTCGAACCCCTGGAGTATGAGTTGTTTCATACTCAAGACGTTGATGTTGATTTTCGGTATGAATGACATGTAGGGAATGCCATACGTTCTTTCATTTGTTTCTAAACTGATTTCACTGATGCCATGTACATGTATCGGGTCAAAGTGACGTTCTTCATCATTGATGAAGAAGCACCTTTTGAAACTGTCGAATATCTCCTTGGTAGGGGACATGTGCTTAGAAATCTTAGTGCTTACATACCAAACGGAATTCCATGACCCCGTGTCTGTTTCTTCGACCATATAGTCTCCATTTATGACGATCCTCTCTGTGTGTGTTTGTTGATAGGGCTGTAGCGGACCAAGCACTTGATTAGATTGATTGTCATGACTTGTTTCGGTTTTGACCGGCGTTTTACCGCTTGCCTTTGCATTAATCGGTTCGCTCTTCTTGGGCAGTCCTAGGCGAAATGCCCTTTTAACATGCAGCGATAACATGTTGGTCTTTTGATTCGTTTCTCATTATTTTCACAACCGCTGCTAGCACCGTAACGTGGATTAGCCAATTTCTCGCTTCCATGAGATCGAATATGAGTGTTGCGAAGTTGTTGGAGAGTCCTCATTGTTTTTCTCCGTCTTTGATCTTGCTTATGATTTTGATCCAACCGTTGGATCTGATACCATGTTCGGGATGAAGGCTTTGACATTGAAACATTTGAGTGTTTCGATTTAGAACCTTCTCCGTTAGTGATCTCATGATCGAGATTCTTAGATGTGGAAGAACCCATTGTAGTATCGAACTAACACACACACACACCTTATAAGAATAAGGATGTAATTTAGGGAAGAATAGCAAATTGTATATATTGAAGAGAGTATGTTCAACAAAGCAACCGATCAATGTATTTATACATGATGAATCGGTGCCAATATGATCATCACGTCGGTTGGGATGGGGTGCCATAACAGATGTCCATAACTCCTTAAGAAAACTACCTGCCAGCATTACATATGAGGTGTCCCATGACCCTCTTTATTTAAAACTTAATTAAATAGTAATAAACCTATAATTAATCCTAAATTTTGACATTTAATTTTCCCAACAAAAGTGTACATGGATGTGCCACCGGGAATCGCTACAAAAGAATCTTGGGAAAGGTTTATAGTCTGAAAAAAATCACTCTATGGGCTCAAACAGTCACCTAGAGCTTGGTTTGAGAGGCTAACTCAAATGGTGAAACACCATGGATTCATTCAATGTCAAATCGATCACAATGTGTTCATCAAAAGTTCATCAACAAGGAAGAAAGCCATCATGTTCGTGTATGTAGATGATATACTTTTGACTGGTGATGATGTGGAGGAGCTTGAGCATTTAAAGGATGTGCTTGCAAAGGAATTTGAGGTGAAAGATCTAGGGAGGCTCAAAGACTTTCTTGGAATGGAGGTTGCAAGATCCCACAAAGGAATCTTTATAACACAAAGAAAGTATACAATAGACCTTCTAAAAGAGACAGGGATGTTGGGTTGCAAACCAGTTTCAACACCTATGGATCCTCAAGGAAAGTATCAAATGAAAGATGGGAAACTGACTGATAAGGAAAGGTATCAAAGATTAGTTGGAAAACTAATTTACTTGTTACATACCCGACCGGACATCAGTTTCGCTGTTGGGATGGTGAGCAGGTACATGAACCAACCAACAGAAGATCATGAAGAAGCGGTTGTTCGAATTATGCAATACCTGAAACAAAATTCTGGACAGGGACTATTCTTTGGAAAGACAAACAATCAGCAGGTAAGAGTTTCCATAGATGCGGATTGGGGTGGATCACGAATTGATGGAAGATCCACTACAGATTATTGTTCCTATGTTTGGGGAAACCTAGTTACCTGGAGAAGCAAAAAAAAGGCTGTTGTAGCTTGAAGCAGTGCTGAGGCTGAATTTATAGCCATGTGTCGTGGAATCTGTGGGAATATGGCTAAGAAGACTCTTGTCAGAGCTAAAAGTAACAATGATTGGTTCTATCACTTACTCTGTGACAACAAATCTGTGATTGATATCGCAAAGAATCCTGTGCACCATGAAAGAACTAAGCATGTGGAACTTGATCGACACTTCATAAAAAAAGAAGATAGTCTGGGGAGAAGTTCAGCTAAAATTTGTGCCATCAAAACAGCAAAAGGCAAATATTCTTACCAAGGCTCTATCATGGCTTGGGTTCAAAGAGTTGCGGCCCAAGTTGGGTATGATCGATGTTCATAGCCCAGCTTGAGGGGGAGTGTGGAAAGTCAAAAGTCAGCCGATAACCTTATCTCCTGTCGACAGCTCATAGTTTGTTAGATAGATTGTGTTTATCTCCTGTCAGTCCACTCATAGTTTGTTAGATAGGTGTTTATCTTTCCTAGAATAAAGGTCTGGTTGTTAGTGTCTTGGCTATAAAGTAGTGTCTTTGTAATTCGTTTTTTTTTCTTGATTAGAGATACAGATTAAAGCATAGAGAGAGAGAGAGAGACCTTCGACCTCTGGTTCATAAATTCTATAATTATATGTAATTACATCTTTTTACTGGTTGATAAGAATTACACTAAATATATATTAGTATTAGTAATAAAAACATATTTAATACAATGGATTTATGTTCTGTTTAATTGTTAGCAGCATACTCTTGATAAATAAATTAAATATGCATCCTAGCTTTTCTAATAATATCTTTTGAAAGTTATACATCATTAGTATGTTGTATTTTTATGGCTGAGCATACAAATTTTGAGATATCCTTCTTCCCCCTCTCCCCCTTAGTTTGGGCATCGGGTTGCATTTGTCCATTTTTAATATTATGGTTAGTGTATGTGTATATTTGTAGTAAATGTTGCAACATTTTGCTAGGGAGTTCTCGTTAACCAGCATGACTGGAGCATATCGGCGAGTATTTGGAAAGGCAAAGGATTTTGAATGGTATCCTTTCTTCTTTCCTTCCAAACACTTGGTTTCGGTTTTCTAAATCGTTCTTTATGGCAGTGTTTTAGAAAAGAATAAAGTAGAGCTGGGTGGTCAAGTAACCTAGCAATTATTCGCCTAAGTATGGATGTTCACTAAAAAATATAAACTGGTTGCTAGATGAGTTCATGCATACATATGAGAATCCAAATTTTGATTTCATTCTTCCATTGATACAATTACTCAAAAAGAATTTTAAAGGTTCCCTCCAAGTTGAAGAAAGCTGATCGATGAACATAAGTTGGGAAAAGTTTTTTAATCCTCAGTCTTCTGAAATGCTGAAGTCAGTGATTAGTTGCTCATCAAAGTGAAGTGGTGTAGGATGCTTAACACTTAGGTGGCTGCGTAATTGGCTCTAAGCAGGGATTTGTAGACCAACTACTGTAAACATTCATTGCTCTACTCTTTGGGGCAGAGTGTAGGATATACTGGGCTCTTTTGGTTTGCTGTAAACATTCTTTGCATTGCTTGCAGGGAGTTGATCAAGTATACAGATGTAAGTATCCCATTGACCATGACGGATTTAGATATCATTACGAAGGCCAACGAAGGTGGCAAGTGGCAGTTTGAGAGCTCAGGAAAGGAGATTGATGTGCCAACACCGAATGGAGAAGCAATATTGCAAGAGAAGGACTCTTCAAGTGTGCCCACTGCTCCTGGGGACCAACTAGCCCTCAAATTGAGCTTTACGCTTCCAGCGTCTTGCTATGCAACTATGGCGATTAGGGAGCTGCTGAAAACCTCAACTTCTGTAAGTATTGTTCAATATTCAACACTCTTCGCTTTACAGGATTGAACAGTGGGACCATCCTTGCATCAGTTCTAAACTGGTTTTCTATGTCTGGGTTCATGAGATTGGCTCGAAGCAGTTTTCTTACTGACTGGTCAACTTGAGTCTATAAACATCAATACTATCACACAGTTGCCTGCTTCTATTTGTATATTATTGCTTGTTCATAACTAAATTCCAGGAGTCATTGTTAGCCTACCCAAATTAGGGTTTTCCTTCCATGACCCTCATATTCTCAAAACTCATCTTATATGCCCTTTTTCGTAAGCCGGAGATCTTCACAAAAACAACTAGTCTACTTATTAAGGTAGATGTTAGGCCTGCTTACATCTTACCCCACCTCTCGGTGGGATATACTGGATTTGTTTGGTTTGGTTGATCTTTGTTGCTTGACTCTTGATCTTTAAAATGATTTGATTTGTGCAGGTTGCTTTTCACAAAGCATTAAATCAGTAAGACTTGTCGGGATATGGAGTATACGAGGTCAAGAATGGAAAAAGGGAAACCCTAATTTGGGTAGGCGAATTTTGTGTTTTTACTGTCTTGTTCAAAAAGTGGAATTGGATGGCCTTAGATGAGAGTAATTCCTGATATATTTTTGCAGTTTTGTAGCATGCATCAGTCTAATTCAAAAGCAGGAGTGTGTGGTTTTGGAAAATGCAACTCACCATTCTCTTTTGCAAGTGTGGTCATAATAGGGTATGGTTGATATGTTTGGTAAAAGAAAATACTAGTCGATTCATGCAAATCTAAAACCAAAAACAACCCCTTAAATCTAAAACCAAAAACAACTGATTTGGACTCCATCCCCACAATCCTTTGCAACAACCAATGAACATGAAAACTATACTTCTCCTACCACTATATATAATCTTGAATCATCGAGCAACCATGGGTGAGATGAGATGAGATTCATAAATAAAACACATAGAAAATGGAAAAATCTTGAATGGTTTCCATTCCAATACTTCATTCGAACGGTTTGGGTTCCATGCCAATAGGATGCTTCCTTTTTCTTCGATCCATTCTAAGGGGTTGCTGCTGCGATGAATGGAGTTCTGTTGGAGAAGGGGGAACGGGTTCGGTGAGTTGTAGGTGTCATGGAATGTCGGTCAGAGGTTGTCAGGTTGCCGGAGATACGGTTTCTTAACCGGGAACGGCAGGGGAAGAGGATATATAATATATAATAATAGTAATATAATAATGAAAATAATTTATATTTAATTTTCTTTAAAATTAAAAAAAAAAGATAAAAAGACCAAAATACCTCAAGTTTAATTGAACTAAACTAAACTGTCAGACCTAATCCATAACAAAGTCAAAACCACAATAATCATATATGTAATTATTTCATTTGGGGGATTCAATCCATAATTTAAATAAAACCACAATCCTAAGATTCGCAACCCGATATCATAAACAAAATTTCCAATATAGAGGATTCAACCACTATTTGAAAAGGTTCGTCGTAACAAACTATCATGGTGCATCGTGATTTTTAACGTCTTATTTGTTAGTTTTTAGTATATAACTTAATTTAAATTGTTTATTATCATTTGATTCATTGATTCATATTAGAAACACATGTTTATGTAATATTATATATGATATTAAGATTTGTCGCCATAAATCACGCTTTAAAAAACATTGTGACCTCGTCGTGACTTTCAAGACTTGAAAATTGGCCTCGTCGTCACGCAACGCCACACTCTTTAGAACCTTGATCAAAACTTAAATTTCCCTTATTCGGTTTTACCCAATAAATCGAATGATTGGGTTATGGTGAAGATGGTAAGAAGAGATCTCCACCCTTTGATCAATCTTAATTGAAAAGTTCCACTAGATCAATACTAGTGAAAAGTATCATATCAATTTCCTTTTAAAATGCAATCCATAGGTTGATTTGATATTAAAAGTGATCAAAAGTCCAAATCATTTCAAGGCTAATTTGATTCTATTAAGTAGAAAGTTGAAAACCAAATAAGCCATAAATGAGATGGGCAATTAATCAAAAAATGTTACGATTTGGGATTTTTTGTAACAAGTATTTGATCAATTTTCTTCTGGTCGATTATATTGTACAAAACAAGAAATGATATAAAACTTATTCAAACAAGTGTCCTTCACACTTCTACACATATAATTTTTTTAATTTTTTAGTTAATCAAAATCATAACTTATCTCTTTTTACATATTTGTGCATTGATTAAGGATAAAGAATTTAAAAATCTATTTTTTAAAAGAAAATGTAAAAAAAAAAAAAACCAATGAACTTTCCTTAAGCATGGGAAAGGGTCGGGGATCTTAATCCCCATCCTCGTTTCCGATTCCTCATCTCCGTCTCCGTCCCCATCTCCTCCCGTGTAGAAAGTATGATCACATCTCCATCCTCATCCTCAACGGGGAACGGGGATTTTTTTCCCCGTTTATAAGCTACTCATATATGTGAGAGACACACATGTCTAAATCTCGCATATTTTCAATAAAACTAAAAATCAAAAGAAATTTAATTTGGTACAAATAAAAACATCATACAACAATTTAATAACCTAAACAAAAAAAATTCAATTTAATCCAAAAAAAATCTAATACCACACGTACCAAAACATATCGAATAATATAAAATCATATTGATTAATATCAAAAACATACGGGATAATGGTATTTTGACTTGATATCCAAAATATTACATACTTACATCCAAAAAGTAACAATTTTAAATTTTAAACCTAGTTAGGAAATAGAAAGTTATAAACTACTGACTTAGTTGAAATAAATAATAAATAATTTATTAATTAATATATATAACGGGTGCGGGGCAGGGCAAGGAGTGTGATACTTGTCCCTGTCCCATCCCTGGTTTGAAACAGACGGGGATCCTCGTCCCCATCCCCAGTTTAGTGGAAAATCCCCATCCTAGACCAGGACGGGTGGATCGGGTTCCCCGACTAGTCGGGGCCCATTCTTATGCCTAAATTTCCCGTTTTTTATTGATCAAGTCTCCCAACTATTTTTTTGAATGAGTAAATCGTTACACATCTCATTTTGAATGATTAAGTTTCTTAACATTTTTTTAATAATTAAACAATTGATCTTTTAAAAATTGGTTACATACATCATTTTAGTCCAAAAAGATTATAGTAGCTGGCTAGAAAGTTTTAAAATAAAGAAAAACCTAAATCAGTTTTACCGTTCTCACATCCTATATCATAAATACCCTTTGTGCCCAACATCATCTCTCCCCCTCTTCGTCCCATTGCCACCCGCTCAACGCCGGGGGGCCCTACCATCGATCTCCCTCTATTTTATTAGTTTTGTTTTTTGGTTTTTGATTTCCCCTCTTTCTGATCTATTAATACGTACGCCATTAAAATATTATAAAAGATAGATGATAAAAAAACATATAAAAAGGAGATAGATTGATGATAGGGGCCAACGACGACAATGGTTGGTAAAGAGAAAGGACGACGATGAGGTGACGAAGGGGAGTACTGTCATTCGGTGCAAGGGTTTTGAATGACGTAGAGTTTGGAAACAGTAAAACTGATTTAAGTTATTTAATAATTTTGAACTTTTCTAATCGGTTACATATAGCCTTTTTAGGTTAAAAGAACATAAATAATATTTAAAAGGTCAATGGTTTATTTGTTCAATAACGTTCACGAACTCGGTCAATTAAAATAAAAAAGATAAATATCCTATAAAAGTATATTTATAAATCAAAGTAAATATATAAAAGACTTTTTAAAGAAATTTGACTTCTCTGAATGCTCATCCATTAAAACACCGATGACACCTCCTTTGAAACTGAACTCAGATCCTTATGGCAAATTGATGAATGTTACTCTATCTTACTGCTAGTAAGCCATATATCATATTTTTTTACATGCCTTTTTGTACGAGATAATAAATGAATCCAAAGGAATTTCACTTGGCAACTTTTAATTTTTTTTTCACGTACCTAAAAATTACTCCCAATCTGGGTCGTTGGTATCCGAAAGACAGAGGTTTTGAATTAGGCGGATTTTCAGATTATGATTATGTAGACTATAAGATTTATAGAAAGAGCACAACTGCACCTCCACAACCGAAGTAGAATATGTTGTTGTCTGTAGTTGTTGTACACAATTTCTTTGGATGAAAAATCAGTTAACTGGTTACGATCAATTATTTTCATAAATTCCTATTTTATGTGACAATCCAAGTGCAATAGCTATCGCCAACAATCCAGTTCTTCACTCTCGTATCAAACACATTGATATTCGTTATCACTTTATCAGAGATCATGTGATGAAAGATGATGTTAAATCACTTTATTCGTACTGACTATCAACTCGCTGATTTATTTACAAAACCTCTTGATGAAACTAGGTTTAATAATTCTCCAATTTCATCGTTAGTTGTTGTTCACTCTCCAAGCTCAAAAGATTTCATGTGCTCCGAGAAAAAGGAAACTATGTGAAAGAAGAAACCGATGCAAGCATACTGATTACAAGAAAAAGAAATCAAGGGTGTGTTTGATTTGATGGAATAGTTTAAAGGGATTTTGATATATTTAGTTTGTAGGATTAGAATCTATACAAATAGTTTATTAAAAATAAAATGACAAATAATTATAAACATAATTAAATTCCCTTTTTATTAATTAATTATAGCAAAACAAATATTTTTAACATACTTTAAGACATTGTAACATAAAAATTCTACGAGATACCAACTACCCACATGGGATTTCAAAATCCTATGTTTGTGGGATTTTATCGAGATTTCAAATACAAAAGAATCCTTAAAATCAAAGATCGAATTGGAATGAAATACAATGCGATCCAAAAAACCGAACAAGAGTGAAAATGGATATGTTATGGGTACTACACGACCCATTCCACAAATACAAATATAAATCCACCATTAACCACCATCACTGCTCACTCTATTTTTTATTTTTAAAAAAGAGAAAATATTGATTTCTACCTATATCTTATTCGATTATCAACATTAACTTCCAAATCGGTTACCGCTCTTCGTATATTAACTACTCGCCAATAAAAAGTTGGTTGACAGTCTTATACATGCGCCCTCTACATCTGCTTCCAAGGCTATGACTCTGAAAGCGCCTTTGGAGACTCACTCCGTCTCAAACCTTCTAAAATTAGATAGAGGCATTCTCAGTTATCCCATCTTGGTTCTTCTTCCAAGAAGGCCAAGAAACCTAAGAAGGATAAAAACGCATCTCGAACCAAGGACTTTCAACTGTTGCACACACTTGGGGATCCTACACCACTCCACCTCAGTGGTGATGACTCAAATATCTCCCCATTCTGAGGCTCTTCTTCTCCTCCACATGATCACGACTTATCACCTGAGATTGATAATCTCGACGACGTTGCAAGGATTGATGACACTTTAGCTACAGTGGAGGTGAGATATTTTTTCTGCATTATCTGCTTCTAGATGTGGGTAATTAACCTTACCAACCAACTGACTCTATTCAGATGGTAACCGATGACCAGCCTCATGTTGGCGTTGAGCATCACACCGATGTTGTTGATACATACATTGAGCTACACACCAATGTTGCTGATACAAACGTCCATCCTCAAGCGATCATTGGTGATATTGCCTTGAGTGACTCTCAGGTGCCCGACAA